TCTGGCCCTCTTCATTGCAGAATTTCTTCTTATTACCAGCCTGTTCTTTACTGAAGGCCTGGGGGTTTCGATTTGAGGCCGTGGAGACCCAAGCTGTCTGCTGTGATTGAGAAACATGTCAGGTATTAGCTGGTATTAGCTTAGAACACCACGAGCTCGTAACAGCAAATTCTTAATCACATTTTCGTGGAAGCATTCTTGATTGTAGAAACTGACTCAAAAAGTAATAATTCCTTTTCTCCGTTTATTTTTATTAAGCTTTGTTGACCTATGTAAGGGTTATAGGCGAGGAGGGTGTATGGGGATTAGAAAGATTAGTCAGTCAGCTGCCACTCCTAAAAATATCAGTGATTTTTTTTCTTAATCACATAACTAACCTTCTGTCTGCGCAGAGCAAATTCACACTAAGACCAAACCTAAAGGACGAGTTTTCCACTTTTTAGTACACTTGAATATAAATACAGACAGAAGAATAATTATATATGTTCAGAATTGCTTAAATCTCTAACATTTTAACATTTGAAAAAATTTAAGAATCCTTGTCCAGTAATGTGCCTTGTGATTATTGACTCAATGCAAAATAATAAACATCTTAGTTGTTAATTGTTTTATAACCTGCCTTGCTTCACAAACTTACTTTAGGCAGGTTAGTAAGATATATAAAATATAGAAGACGAATGAAAGAGAATGGTTATCCAGAGGTGTTGGGTCAGAGATGAATAAGGATAGAACCCTAAGGGGATGCCAGGTATCTGCGTGTTTTCTGGTAACCAAGCGAGAAGAAACAAGCTGCAGGAAGGGAGGGTGGGGGCGGAAGGCTGTCGGCAGACCGTTCCACAGGCACAGCAAGACCCTGCAGGGACACCGAGGGCACAGCGGCGGCCAGGCCAGGCCAGGCCAGGCCCGGCCAGAAGCCCGAGCACTCTGGGCAGTGAGGAGCCCGTGGCCCAGGGACAGTGGCCCGGCCTCCGCAGTGTCCCCCTCACCCTGGGAGCAGGGTGGGCTCTTCCGACAGCTACAAGCGCTGGCCTGTAACACTGTCCAAGGCCTGATGCTCACTCAGTTCACCAGCTGCAGGCAGTGTGTGTCAACTTCTTGCTACAAACATGAAGAAATCAGTCTCAATCCTCAGTCCTCCTTTGTCTTCCCTTCCAATTTTTAAAACTTTTTACCTTGAAAAGGCCTCTGACATTCACGCTGCTAGAACAACCTCTTGTACCCTTTTGTGGGGTGGGCTTTAAGTAGGGGACCCAGCATGACTGCCACGTTACTGGGACCATGACACATGCACATTCACTTCAGGGCTTACCGGGGAGAGAATCTCACGCTCTCAGATGTTAAGCTTTGTTGGTAAGAAGGGAACCTTCTAAGCCTCCCAGACCAGCGCTCTTCCACTTTCACTTCTCAGTTGCTGCTATTCCTTACATCTTGCATGCTTTCTTAAATATTACTTTCTTTTTGGGTTGTCTGAGTACTCTTTGCATGTGGGGTCTGTGGGAGCCAGTCTTTTCTGAGGCTAGAAAGTCCGAGTTAGCTTTATTTTGTCTCCATACCTGTTTTAAAAGCTTAGATCAATATAAACATCCAAACTTTAAAGATATCATCTCCATTTTCTCCCTTCCCGCCCTCATTGTAGGTGAGGGTCTTATAGCAGTCTTGATTCCCCTTTTGTTAAGGATGAGGGTTTTTTCTTTCCCTGAAATGTTTAGGATTATTTTTAATCCTGTCATTGTACAGTTCCACCACAGTGTTTCAGCTTCAGTCTTTTCCTACCACTCTAACGCTGCATTTTGTGGAACCTTCCCGTGTGGGTTCCCGTGGAGGGGAATTTTCTCCACTTACCTCACTGCCTTCGCACTTCTACTTCACCTCCTGTGAGGTGGGTGCAGCCCTGCGGGACCTGACTCCACATATTAAATTCTTTGTGTAAGGGCTTGCCACGCCTTAGCCCTTCCGTTCTCCATCCTCACCAAGCGCTCTCTGTTTATCTTTCAGATTAAAATCTCGGGCCTCCTCAGCACCAAATTTTAATTCCACCTTACCGTGCCTTCTTGAAGCAACACTTTCTAACTGCCAGGAGTTTTTTTCCTTCAGTAGTTCGGTTTTGCCTTTGATGGACTGTTCTTGTTTTAAGTCTGTGATGCCCCTCATCTCATGAAGGATACCAGTAGAGGATTTGTGGCTTTAATTCTGTTTCGTGATTGTGACTTTGTCCATGTGCTCTGTGGCAGCTGCTTTGTCTCAGAGCTTTTCTTCCACGCTGTCATTTGTCCTCAACTGCCCTCAGCTTGTTCTTCGTCCTGGTTAGAGTTCACACGTCTGAGCAGACGCCACTCGTGTCAGTGTGGGTGCCATGTGGGTGTCCTGACTGGCTCCACCCCTGTCTCCCTCTCGGCTGCCTGCCCTGCACCGAGGGCTTTCTGGTGAGCTGGGCGGCCACACGCAGTGTGTTGTGACCACCCCTAAGGTCCAGAGTTCTAACATACCTCTTGGGTCCGTTGTGTAATTTTTCATCATAGTAGTATTTGCCCTTATGCTTGGGCACTTCTTTGGCTTTTTCAACTTGTCATTAACCTGTTGTGAAGAACATATTTGTATGTATAATTTGTTCATGTATTGCTGATAACTTTCATGATGTTGATTCCTAGAGTGAAATGTATGGGTTATGAAAGGCATTAATAGCTGCTGCTAAATTATCTTTTGGAAGACCATAACAAGTCTCAGTCTCACTTAAAAATATCCTTTATCCTCACATTTTGGATGGCAGTGGATAATACCGCTCATTTAATATGTCCTGCTGGCTTGAACCAGCAGGGGTACATGTACAACAGTCCCTTCAGGCCGCTGGTACCACTGGTTGTACAGATAGTAAGGCCACGCACAGGACAGTCGTGCATGTGCCCCTGGTGGTCCAAGCCACCCAGCAGTGAGACATGAGAACCATGGCCCCAATGTGAACGTATTAATATTTGCCAATTGACATACATAATCGTTGCTGTTTGAATCTGTTAATGTGCACAGATCTTCACAGATCTCCTTTGCAGATTAACTGTTGTCTTTCACTGTTTTGTGGCAGATGGTCATCATTGTCTTTGCTTCGTGGGGCTCTTTTTTGGGATTATTAACCCTTTGTCATATATGTTACGAATTTTTTCCCAGTGTGTAGCCTGCCTTTCACTTTGGCATGATGTGTTTTTTTGCTGTGTGTATGTGTTGGTGCCGTGTGTATAAAGCCACCTGTTCACCTGTCCCAAGGCAAAATTCCATCTGGCTAGCTCAGTGTGTCTTGCATTATACTTTTAAGTCCATATAATTGTTTGCAAACATGATTTGAGTAAGGATATGTCTTTGTTTTTTTCTGACATAACCAGCCAACTAGTCTCTTTAAATTGGCTGATCATCTTTTCTTCTCAATTTGATATTTCAGCATTGCCATATGCTACACATTTATATGCATGTATACGTGTGTGTGACTGCCTAAATTAACACCACGGAATTTCAGGAATTCTGGAGATTTCCTAACTAGACCACTCTTACTTCACTGTTCCTAGAAAACACTGCAGTGCAATACCTCAACTTCTATATTAAAATCTCATCCAGTACTTGCTTGTTAACCTAATTCTTAGGAATTAAAAGACCTCCAAAATACTTGTCTCATGAGAGTATTTTATTACCAACCAGTTTTCTTTATTGTTTTTGTCCACTCATAGCCTGCCAGGAGTAAAGACAACAGTGGTACCTAGGAATCAAACACCATTCCGAAGAATAGACTGGCTTCAGAGATAGGAAAGCTGAATCTGCTTGTTTTGTAGTAGGGAGAAATATTAGTTAACATTGGAAAATAAGGCAAATAACAGTGTTTGAGGTTCAGAAAAGCAATTAGCATGCTAAGTTAGCAGCATCCAGTTACTGTCTTGTATGTATGGATTTTAAAATAGGTAAACTTGACAGCACTTCTTGTGAACTAAGTACCACATCACTGGGACAGTCCCCCCTGTGGAATTACGCGGTGTCTCCTGCCACACAGCTGGTTAAGACTCCATTTCTCCAGATATGAAAGGTCCGTTACAGTGCTGTAGGGCACGCGTAAATTGTGTGCGCTGCCGTGAACTACTGAAACAAACAGAATCAATAAAGGGATTTGGCAAGAATGTGGTTACCAGCATTGCATGGCCTTAAGTGAGTCTTACCTGATCATGACAGTAATAATAATACAGTTGTAAATCATGTAATAATAATAATAGTAATAATAGCAATAATAATACAGTTGTAAATCATGTATTGTGCTAATACATCTGTAAATCATTGCTGCCTCTAGTGCTCTAGGAGAAATTTCAGGGAGTTGGGACATGTGGTCCCAGACCTTCTCTTAGGAGTCCACCATGTGGTCTAATGGTAAAGGACCAAGAAGTCCTGCTGGAGAGAAGCCCCTGGGTCTGGGGGACCCATTCCTGGCATCTTGAAACTGTTCACACGGGGAACCTCTGTTACCTGCTGTCCATGGTTACTAAGCGTCTAGCTTTAGTAAGAAGTGATATGTGCAGGGAGCTATTTTGCACATGGTACTTTAATTTGTGATAACAATATGGAGTTTTGTTAAGAAAAATACCCTTAATTTTACAAGATCCTTTTGCTCATGGAGTTTTCAGAATAGCAACACAGAAAAGTATTGTTTTGTCCTGTGAATCCTGACTTGGTTTGGAATCAATCACTGGCCAGAAAAAAGCAGAAAGTTTTCAACTTTTCTAGACTTCTGTCCAGTACCTCTATTGAGATTCTATTGAGATTGTTTCTACAAGGGGCAATTTAATATTGGGAACTCTTTACATCCAATGCATGTTTTCATTTATTTATTATAATTTCAGCAGTGGTGAGCTTAGGTGCATATAACAACTGTAGAATCAGTAGTGATCTTTTGTATTTATTGCTCATAAAATAAGCCTTGGCTTTGCAGTTGCAGAGAGGCCAGAGGAAGGTCAGGGTGTTTCTTCTTACCGTAGGATGGGCGCTGCGGACAGTATATACCAAGGACGGAGCACCTTTATGGAGGAGCTGACGGACACGGCAGAGATCATCCGGAAGGCAACGCCGAGGTCCCTGGTGATCCTGGATGAACTGGGGCGAGGCACGAGCACACACGATGGGATCGCCATCGCGTACGCCACCCTGGAGTATTTTATTAGAGACGTAAGTGTCCTGTGTACCTCTTCTTTTTAAATTAAGTTTCTTCCTAATATGGTGTCTAAGTGACACATCATAACTGTGCACCTGTGTGGGCTGCATCATCCTGTCCTGGTAGATGTAAACAAGGGGGAACGATGAAACCAAGCAGCTCACAGACACTGCTGTGCTTATTTTGAGGTGAGACATTTGAAGTTGCGTGTCAGTTATTCCAGAATGTACAATGCATTGTCACTGAGTGTGGCCAGAGTACCTTCTTGTGATACCTGCGTGCCCTGTTTTAGCTGGATTGCACACTGTGTAGAAATTGTTTTTCTGACCTCAGCCTCAGATGCTTGAGGGCAGCTTTGTTCCTTCACATTGCCCTAAGACTGCAGTTAATCATTGGGTCGCCAGAGCTCGAGCAGTGTCTGCAGTGTTGGACGGGCTTTGTCTGTGTTGCTGAAGCTCGGGCACCATCGGGCGCCGTCTCCTGGGCCAGCGGAGTCAGGTCATGAGGAGCCAAGGACAGCAGGACAGCGCCGTCCCGGCTGCGGGCTGCATTTCCCGGGACGAAAGCCCGCAGGCCCCGCTGGGTCTCCCCCTTCCCCTCCCCTCCCCTCCCAGTCTCGCTGGGCTGTGGCTGCTCGGTGCCCAGCGTGGTGCCGCCGCTTGAGGCTGCCCTGCACTGGCCGCAGCGCTCTCCCTGCGGCTCTGCCTCCTGCGCCTCGCACTCTGCGCCTCGTTGCTCCTTTTCCGTGCACCCGAATTTTCTTCCTCTTTCCCTCCCCTCACTTTCATTCTCCCTCCGTTCCTGAAGCAGCCAGTCAAAGCATATTTTTCTTGATCACAGTTCTTTCAAAAAACCCCCCACAAAATTCCTTTTGCTTTAGCCTTTTAAGGCCTTTGGTGTTGTTCTGCTTTGTTTTCTTGCTTTGCTTTTAAAGTATGATTTTCTGCTTTTTCTCTGGCCCTCGGCACTGTGCTCGTGGGGCTTTGCGGAGCCGCGGCAGTGCCTGGGGTGTGAGTTGGTGGCTGCTGTGTGGCCTGGCCTCGCAGCAGCGGCCCCCACCTTGCTCAGCAGCGCCAGACAGTTCGGTCCACCGTGTGTGCGACAGTGGTCTCTAAGGTCACAGGACCCCTGTGGCCTGGCGCCGGCGTGGCGTGTCAGCCCACGTGTGCGCTCTGTGATGTCAGGACAGGCAGGTCGCCCGGCACACGTTTCTCAGACTCTGTCTTCCTCTGTGCCCACCAGTGACTGAAGTGTCGCGTGCAGCCTGTGGGACACACGTCATCCACTCACTTCGGGCCATCCCCGACTGCCGAGACCTCTGCTGCGTGTAGATGGTGAGCTCCTGGCCTCATCCCGGGGCGCTGGTGTGTCCCGCATGCCCGGCCACCTCCTTCGGGGCCACTGCTCCTTTGTGTTGGTGACTTAGGAGTGGGGACCAGAGCGGCTTGGCCCTGTGACACCAGCTTGGGTTGTGTGGAGGGCCGTGATGTGGCCTCTCCTACACAATACGGACTTGCTATTTCCCTTTTTAAAGATTTTATTTATTTGCAAAAGATGCAGTTGGAGAAGTGTTTTAATCATCACAGAAGCCGCTTCTCGTGGGAGCGTCAGCAGAGCATCAGTGTCCCCAGCACTCACTACATCCTCACTTGGAACTTGAGTTTGGTGTCATCGTCCCAGCGCTCTGGGAAGCTGAGACAGGAGGGTGCCAAGCCTGAGTCCAGCCTGGGCAGCTTAGCAGCTCAGCAAGCTGGGGTCTCAAAATCAGAAACAGCTGGAGGTGTAGTACAGGGAAAGGTCCTGCATTCAGTCCCAGCACCACACACACACACATGCACACACAGTAGAGTGTCAGTCACTGTGACCGTCATGAGTGACCCTGGAGCTGCGAATGGTGACACCGCAGATGGCACTGCTGCCCGTCCCAGGGGTGCCAGGCAGGGCTGTGGGGTCTTGGCTGGGTCCCCCAGGGTCAGCCGGCTGTCGGTGCCCACCCTTCCTGCCTCTGCGTCCCCAGGAGAGGATGGAGCCCAGCAGCCACCCGAAGCTGCCGTCCACGGCTCAGCGCCCAGGTCGGAATTCCTTCTAGAACCCTCTACACAAGGACCACAGAACCAAATGTGTTACTTCTGTTTTTATTGCCTCTGCTCTAAAGCAGGCTTTGGATAGTCTAAATGCTTCAGAAGAAGTTGCTACTTCTGGATGACATTGACCTTGGGGTGCATCGTGAAAGGCTTAAGAAAACAAACTTCTTTTCTCAGATCAGTTGACTACTCGTGTAAGTCAGTCTCTTGGGCCCTTTCTTAGGACTCATCAGCCTATGAGCCTTTTTTGTAACCAGTATTACACTGATTGGTTTGGGGTTTTTTCTTGTTACTGATTTTTGTTTTTTGTTTTTACCTGGTGGTACTGGGACTGAACTCAGGGCTTTCACACTGAGCTACATCCTTTTTTCCATTTTATTTTTTATTTTGAGATAGAATCTTACTAAATTACCAAGTTGCCTAAACTGGGCTTCAATGTGCGGTCCTCCTGCCTCAGCCTCCCGGAGTGCAGCCCAACCCCCAGCAGTACCGCCCTGTCGGGGTCGCTGCAGCTCTGTGGTGAGTGTTAAAGTTGGAAGTGACCATCCCCCAGCTTTGTTCTTCAGTACTGGGCTGGCTATTTTGGCTCTTGGGCCTCCACGTAGACGTCAGATTCATGTGCTGGCACCCACAAGAACCCCTGCTGGAATTACGCGTGGTGTCGTGTTGCGTCTCTAGACCAAGACGGGAAAGGCAGCCATCTGGCCATTCTAGAGCCTTCCCGTGCAGTGACATGGTTCCTCTTCTGGTTACTTAGCCCTCCTCTGGTTCATTTCTTCAGAATGACGTAGCTTTGTCATAGAAACCTTGTCCATATTTTGTTAGAGTCATACCTGAGGATTTCATTTTGGGCGTGCTAAGGTAACTGGTACTGCATTTTTATTTCAAATTGTACTTCTCCACTGCTGGTATATAGGAAAGCAAGGACTTCCTTGTGTTGATCTTGGATCCTGCAGCCTTGCCGCGATCACTTACAATGTCACTATCATAGGAGACAGGGCAGGAGCGGACAGTGTTACGGGACAGCCAGGGAAGCCTGCTGCATAATCTGGAAGAGTAGTGACTCTCTTGGCTGTAACCATGTTCTGGGTGCGTAGGCAGCTGCTTTTGTTCTTAGCAGACAGACTCTCAAGTCTTCAGGGATAAAGTCTGCAAGTGACTCTCAAGAGGTTCAGGGAAAAAATGTGTATAAGTGTGTGTGTGTTTGGGGGGGGGTGTCCACACATGTATGTGTGTGTAAATGAGAGGGAAGAAGAAAGGGAATATGACAAGATATTAACTGCTGTGTTTGTTGTCTAGGTAAAGAGTATGTGGTGCTCATCGTATTTTTCTTGACGCTTTTTAAAAAATTACAAATGATCTAAAAAGCCCGAGTGTTTCTTTCTTGCAGGTTTTGTGAAGGTGTGAAATTTTAAGTTTTAATTTAACATTTAAAAATAAAAGGCCACTTACCCTGTCTTGTTGCCGTAGGTAAAATCCCTAACCCTGTTCGTCACCCATTACCCACCGCTGTGCGAGCTGGAAAGGAGCTACCCGGGCCAGGTGGGGAATTACCACATGGGCTTCCTGGTGACCAAGGACGAAGGCCAGGCAGGTCCAGGTAGGCGAGGTCCTGGGCTGGCAGCGCGTGCCCGTGGTTGCCGGGGTTGTGCGAGTAGAAGCCCACTGCTCATGCACAGTGTGGTGCCAGCCACAGGTAACACTGTTCGCACTCATGTTCACACTTGCTCCACCCTCGGTCAGGAGGGATGCACCCCTCTGCCATCACCAAGTCCTGCCTGAGCTCCTTCTCCTGTCCATCCCAGCAGAGCTCCGCTGGCCCCCTTTCTTTGTAATAAGAAGCAGTGATTTCCAAGCTATATACAATAAATTGCCCCCAAAATACAGCACCCGAAACAAAGACCATCTGTCACTATTTCTGGGGGTCTGGAGTCAGGGGCAACTCGGCTGAGCCCCTGGGCATCTCCCAAGGCTACAGTCAGGGTGCAGGGCAGGGGAGTGGGGCTGCCAGGCCCACCCACGCAGCACCTCCCCACCTGGCTGTGACCAGACCCCGGTGCCCACAGGGCCTCTTTTGAGAATGGCCTGTGGCACATGGCTGGCAAGGAAGGAAAAGGACCAGACAGAGAGCGCCATGGTCTCCCCACACTGACCTCTCATCCCCGTGTCACGTTCTGTTCACGAGAAGGGAGTCCCTAGGCCCTCCCCACACTCAGAGGGCCGGAGGACCCCAGCCAGGCCCGTGGTGGCTGTCTCCAAGGCTGCCTGTCCTCCCCATGGCAGCAGTCATTGCGGTCCCTCAGGAAGGGGCCTGCCAGCTGCAGCGAGCCCCACAGAGGCCACACAGCCTGTTGAGCCCTTCACTGGGCGCAGTACCTGACACTGAAGCCCAGAGGAGATGTGTGACTGGGTCCATGGTTCAGGGGCCTCGGACCATGCTGGGGCGGTTGGTTCTAAGGCAAGAACAAGGCAGAAGGCATGGGGGAGCAAAGCCACTCACTTCCTGGGGGCCAGGACGGGGAGAGGGACCGGGTGGGAGACAGACCCTCCAGAGGGGGCTCAGTGACCACCTCTCCCCACCAGAGCCCCTCACATTCAGCTGTGCATCAGTGATAGATAACCCACTGAGCCGGGCAGCTTCCAGAGCCCCGCCTCTGAACACATGAGGTGTCCTGGGGACATTCTGCATCCGACCAACAGCTCCACCCTTCTGACAGCTGGGGTGGGGGAACAGAACAGCAACCCCTTCAGCATGTAGAGCTCCTAGCCAGAACACTTCATCACCCCCAATGTTTTGTCTTTTTATTTAAACTGTGTGCAACATGTAACATTTCCTTCTCTATTTTAACAGGAAAAATAAATGCCATTGTACCATGTATCAGAACCATTCTGCTTTTGATACAGAAGTTCAGTTCAAATTGTGCAATGAATCATTGTTAAAAACTGTCTTAAGTGAGCTAGAGGCCCTAAATGCAAACGCATTTTCAAATCAGTATTTGCCCTTTATCTTGATATGCAAACCTGAACTGGCAGGTGGCAGGAACAATAGGCTTCTTTCTCAGAGTGTAAATTTTAATAGAGTAAAATTTTAAGAACGTTCATGTCCTCTTTAGTCCTTGTATTTCAGTTTTTGATATCCTTTCCCTTTTGTTCTGTCTTTCACAGGCAAAGAGGAAGTCCCTGATTTTGTGACTTTTCTTTATCAAATAACCAGAGGAGTTGCAGCAAGGAGTTACGGCCTAAACGTGGCTAAGCTAGCAGATGTTCCTGGAGAAGTCCTGAAGAAAGCAGCTCACAAGTCCAAGGAGCTGGAAGGGTTAATAAACATGAAAAGGTCAGGATGTCTGAGCTGCGTGTCTGTGCGTTTGTGTTTGATAATAAAACCTTCCTCCAAGTGGCCCAAGGAAGAGGATTCTTTACCTTTATTTTAATTTAATTAATTTATTTATTTGGTACCGGGGATCAAACTGGGGACCTTGCACTTGCAAGGCAGGCAGCGGCACCACTGAGCTAAATCCCCGGCCCTTAATTTTATTTTTGAGACAAGAGTCTTGGTATATAGTCCTGGCTGGCCTTGCACTAATCCAAGTCCCTGCCTCAGACCCCCGAGTGCTGCGATTATGGGGTGCATCACTACTCCTGGCTTCTTCCAGTATTTGGAAAGATTTTATCACAACCAAGTGGAAGCAGCTCTTGGCAGAGCCGTGGATTCAGTCTGCATCTGGCATCCCAGCCCATCTCTGTTGGCCACAAAGCTCTTTACGAAGTTGCAGGATTGGTTTCCGGTGATTTTCTAAAGAATGCGGTGAACTCCGAGTGCCACACATAGCTGCTGCCACGCAGAGTGGCCGAAGAGCCCCCGGGAGAAGCCTTGGTATCAGGCCTCCGGAGCTGCTTCTGTCTTGGGCCCTTGACCAGCCAGGATGCGGTTGGTGCCCAGTCACCACTCAGTGTGCACCTGAGGCACAGTCACCGGGCAGTTGCCCAGGGGACAGTGCTAACAGGCACAGTGCAGCGCAGCCTCAGGCCTAGACAGAAGTCACGGGGCAAGGTGAGCGCCCGGCCCGGGCACAGGGTGTCCCCGCCCCTGCTTGGGCCCATGTTCCCAGCAGATGTGAGGTCTTGGTCCCTGGGTCTCACTCTGACAGTGTTGCTGTGTTCCGGGGTCGGCAGGGGTTTGCATCCATGAGATGGGGAGAAGGTGGGGGGAAGGAGAAGAGAAGGAGAAGAGCACCCTTCCCCTCGTGAGGGCGGTGGCTTCTGCACCCTCATCTGGTCGAGGTCACGTGACTCATGACAGGCAGAGAGTGCGTCAGTCCGCAGGCAGAGGGGTCCAGAGGGGCCCAGAGAGGGCAGGGCCATCACCCAGTAGTTGTATTCTTCCCGGGGTGCGGGCCCTGGAGAAAGCCATCTATACGAGTGCCGTATCCTCTGCCAAGTCCAGAGACAAATGGAGACCTTTCCCTGGGGTCTTCTGTTCTTTTTCCTGGAGAAAGGAGAACAGAGCTGCACTACAGAGGGTACTTACATGGGCTGGTAATAAAGTAAGACAGTTTATGCTTGTTGCTTCTCTGTAGCCTACAAAGCAAAAGCAAGAAATGCACAGCTTTCTTATAAATATTTTCCCTCTTCCAGCGAATGTGTGGCCTTTCAAAATCTGTTACCTAGATAACGGAATTATTGGAAGAGGTTACACTGGAACAGAATCTGATAATTTATCAGTCAGGCCTTTATCTTTCTACTAAAGTGTTTATCACATCAGTTCCCTTGGCCAGATTAAAGAAATCAAAAAATCCTTTGCCATTTTGTGGACTTTTCTAAAATGCTTTTTGAAAGCAGGATCTCGCCACATACCCCAGGCTGGCCTGGAATTCGTGGCAGTCCTCCTGCCTCAGCTTCCCGAGCACTGGGATGACAGGCGTGCGCCACCTCACCAGGCCTATACCATCAGTGTGTACTGTGCAGAACCGAAGTGGGGCATCGGGCACCGTTCTTCCTGCTTTGAGTACGCTGAGTCAGGTGACCCTCAGGGCACCCTGTGAGTCAGTTTCCTTTGTCCCCGTGTTGCGCCGGGGAAGGTGAGGACGAGAAGCCGGCCTGACTGTGCTCTGCAGTCCCCAGTGCCCGGCCCTGGCCAGCCGGGTACACTGCGCTAGGTCAGCCTCCAGGCCTCCTTCATGCTGGGCACTGGCCGGTGACAGGGAGGCACGGTCCCTGTGCTATGGGGCTTTGGGAGCAGTGGGCCATGGTACAGCCCACAACCTCTGTGCTGTCCATACCGCAGCCCCACCCTGGTGCCTGGCACTCTGATGACATTCACTTGCATAGCTTCCCTTGAGACGTGTTGTCCCTAGCCAGTCATCTCTAAAATAAGCAATATTTTATTTTCCCTCCAGGAAAAGGCTGAAGTCTTTTTTGAAATTGTGGACAACACATAGTACGGAAGACCTTCGAGAGTGGATGGACGAGTTTGAAGTAGAAGAAACACAGACTTCTCTTCCTGATGAGCCTGTGGACCGCTCTTTGGAAGAAACAGCGGAGAGTTAGAAACACCCACCACCGTCTAAAACAGGTGCCCAGCAGCGCCCATCTGGCACAGGAGAGCACCGCATCCCGGCCGCAGCGGTCCGTTTGGGAGATGGATTTCTTCCTTTTGTGAAGGAAACGATGCTCAGGTTCCTTCCCCTCCGCCTTTTCAGATAGCAAGGCTCCCTCTGTGACCGGAAATCTCCTGGATGGGGCTCCACAAGGTGACACCTCTTCGGTTAGTGCCTGTTCTGTTTGCACGAGATAATGTTAAAAGCCACCAATTCTTCATGTGCAGAATAATTTTTGATAAAAATAGAATTATGAAGCTCTTAGAAACTAGAGCCCAGTGCCCTGGAAGAATAAAGTCATATGAAATTTGCAGAGTTAGACGTGGTCGTAGTTTTAAGCAGTTTAAATAATGTTGAATGGTGTGATCTGTCCCTCTGTGGAGTAATACTTAATGCACACTTGCTTCAGACTTCTGTGCGTCCTGCTGAGTGCTGGTGTTCCCGAAGGCCAGGCAGTTGTTTTGCAGGTTGGTCCTGGAACCCAGGTCGCTGCCCCACAGAGTGGTGCGCAGGTCCTCCTGCCCTCTGCAGCCCACGGCCCCTGCGCGGTGCCCCCTCCTGGTGAGGCTGGGGGACGCAGCCGTGTCTCCGAGATGTGCATGGCCCCTCTGCCTGCTCCCGTCTGCTGTCCTCCGTTCGTGCTCCTGCTCAGTTAGATCCCACCCCACGTGGGATGCGTGGTCTCCAGCGCCTTCTCCAAGAAGCTGCCTGCAGTGGCCCCCCAGGTCCGGAGCAGCGTGGTGCACCCACGCGAGGAAGTCGTTCTCACTTGGCTGCCCAGCCCAGGCCCAGCATCACTCCCCCGCGGCAGGCAGGGCCGGGCCAAGGACGCAGTCACCTGGAGGCCAGCCTGCCCGACGCGCAGGGCCGCCAGGGCCTCCAGAGGGCGGGGACCCTGGAGCTGCGCCCCTGTAGGGACGCTCAGGGCCCTGCGGTGTGGACTCCGGGGCCAACGCCGGGCGGGAGGGAGGGAGGAGGCCAGCGCCCTGCGAGCTGGTCCAGCGGGGCTGTCACCCCGCGCCCATCAGGACCGCCAGGGCCAGCAGAGGCTGTGGCTCCGACGCTAGTGTGACACACGGGGAGGGTGCTGGGCTGTCACCAGGGCCCCTACCCTGGGCTCCCGGGGTTACCTGTGCTGGGTGGCGGCTGCCTTCGGGGCGATCACAGTGCGGAGCTCAGAATTCCGCAGCTGCGGCCACCAGTGCCCGGGCCTCCTGTGGGCTGGAGCGCGGTGCTGGCGCTGCCCACGGCCGGAGAGAAAGTAAGCCGCCGCGCTTGACGCCGTGTGGCCTTGACCGTGCTGTTGCTGCGTCTCCTCGCTGCTGTCCGTGCGCTGCTGTCTAAGATGCTCTTCGTGTGTGGTAGCTCCTGTGGTACAAGAACAGCAGGAACTCCATGGGGCTGCACTTCATCATTTTAAAAGGAAAAAATGTAGGTGTTTTTAATTGAAAGAAATGTAAAAGCCTCAATGAGTCTCTCTGTGTCCTCCTGAATATTAAAATCATTTGATTCCCAGGCCTCACCTAACCAGGGAGGCCGATCCCGGGCTCAGCACGTCACAGCTTTGCCGGCCGGGGTTCACCTGCTCTGCAGCTTGCCTCTGCGCCGTCCAGACACGGTCCGGGGTTTCTGAACGCTCAGCCTCTCAGCAGTCAGTTTCAGGACGTTCTGGTCAGCCTGGGCGAGGAGCCACCCCACCCCGCCCCGGGAGCCTCTGTCACGCCTGTCACTCCTGTCCGACCCAGACCCGGTGAGCGCGCACACAGGCCCGTCTGGAGTCCCGCTTTGCTCACAGCCTAAGGCTTTCAGGGCTCATCCATGGCACAGCGTTTCTCGTATCCACTCCCTGTATGAAAACTTCCACTTTGCGTGCGACCACGTTGATGCACGTTCGGATTATTTCCATTTCTGGCTGGAGTGAGTAATTAAGCCTTCATGTACAGGTTTTAAAGTAACAAAGCTTAGTATATTTTCTAAAACTCCTAGTAATTCTGGTGAGCCGTCAGGTTTGTGAACCACTGTGCTTATAAGGGACTAAAGAGTATCTTTGGTCAGGCTGATAATCAGTATTTAATGCAGGAGATTAAAATGATGCTTCTGCTCATAATCGAGGTACCAGTTTGCTAGGGTTTCAAGATCCTTACAGAAGTGTCCGGTTTCTTAAAAAAAAATAATAATTTTTTTGCCCTTCTGACGAACTGCCCGAGTTTGAGCTTGTTGTCGCGGTGGTGAAAGTGGACCCCACTTCGTGAATTCCGAGAATGAGGAGACTGACACCAAGGTGGCCCGCGGACCAGTGTGACCTCGAGTGAGCTACCAGCTCACCCTCCGCTGCTGTGCGGTGCAGCTGTGAAAGGGCTGCCCCCGGAGGCTGTGCGACATGAGAGAACCTTGGGCCGACTGTGCCTTCTCACACTGATTAAGGCCTTGCAGCTGGTGCACAGGCACAGTATTAGCAGATGCCCCCAGTTAGGAGATAAGCGCTCTGGGTAGCCTGCAGCAGCGGTGGCAAACCCATGGCACACATGCCGAAGTTGGTTGTTTGTCATCATTGAAAACTAAAAGGTTCGCCACCACTGGTATGTAAGTACACACACGAAACACATTAAGTGGCACATTTATAAAATTGTAGCACTTTGAAGGTTTAAAACCCTTGTTAAAGAACAGGGAGACACTGGAAAAGAAAACAGCACAGGAGAAGAATCGAAATCGAGTTCTGTCTCTTGCTGTGAGTTTGTCAGCATGCCCTTCCCTTGTGGGCTGCTCTCTTTCCCGCTGGCAGCTCTTCCAGCGTGTGAGGGGCCCAGCTTCTGTGTTTTGCTTTGCTCTTTTGAAGAGGTGGAGAAAAACCTTTATTACACCAGTGGGCTCAGAGGAGTTTGTACTCGGAGTCTGAGCCTGTGATTATTATTTAGTTATTTATTTATGTATTTAGTTATTTATTTATTGCAGTACTGGGGATTGAACTCAGGACCTTGCGCTTGTGAGACAGGTGTGGCGCCACTGAGCTAAATCCCCAGCCTATTTTTTATTTTTTGAGACAGGGTCTCACAATGTAGCCCAGGCTGGCCTTGAACTCACAGTGCTCCTCCTGCCTCAGCCTCCTGAGAGCTGGGATCACAGGCTGCACCAGCCCACTCAGCTTCATGTAGCTCCTTGTCGAGTCAGCTACCTGGATCTGAGCTGTGCGGGCCAGACTGTTCTCTCCCCAGCCAGCCTAGGTCAGAAAGCAAGCACAGCAGGTACTGAGAGGCTGAGGAACTGTGGCTGAGGGACTTGGAGCCCGGAAGCAGAAGCGGGATGTTTTAAGTGTTTTTAAATAGTGTTTAGTGCGATTGCATAGTTTTTCTACTGGCCTTTTGTGATGGAAATGAGAATCACAATGCTGCTGTACGTCAGCTTTGTTCTCTGGGGCACCCCTGGGACCCATGCTGAGGTCATAGCCAGGTCTGCAGTGGCAGCAGAGAAACCTGTGGCGCCTCGCTCATGGTGCCCTGTGCAGGTCACAGGCACACAAAGCCATGGGAGAGAGAAAGGGGTCCGGGACACACAGACGTCCCCCCAAAGCCTCGTGTGGTCGTAGGTGGGGCTTTTGAGAGGTGGCTGGGTCTGGGGTGTGTGATTACTAAATCAGTCTGCTGGTTGGTTTGACACAGTTCCTGGTGTGTGCTCCCTGCCCTAAGGGTGGGTGGCCAAGACAATATAAAGGGGCAGAAGGAAGCTGGGATTGGTCCTTGTCGCATGCAGCTTGCTGCTTTCTGCCTGCCATGGACTGTTTCTCCTCTGTGACGCCCCTCTGCCCTGCCACTCTGCCTTGGAGCCAGCCGACTACAACTGAAACCTCTACAGACTCTGAGCTAAATAAACCTCTCCTTCTTTAACTTTGGATGCCGGGTATTTTGTGTCAACAGCTAGAAAAGTGACTAAACAGGAGTGGTATCATCATTCACAGTTGTGCTGCTGGTCCTTGAGTTTGCCTCTGGCAGAGACTCAAAACTCCCTGGCTGTTGGACCTCCCAGGGCCAAGGCTGGCTCTGGGCCTAAATAATGAGCAGTAAGGACACTCACCACCTTGGAGCCAAGAGTTCAGAGCCAGTATCTGGCTCTTGTTTATTCCTCTGATATAGACCAGCAACATCCCAGATAAAACACACTCTATGACCCTGGGTCTCCACGTGAGCAGAGCTGCAGCTGACCCATATAGAATGCCATGCGTGGATGAAGAAAGAATTCCAATGTGTTATGTCCATGTTCTGTCTCCCCACAATGAATGTAATCATTTACTGCAAACATACACTGATAAAATAATAAAAATTAATTTTTTAAAAAGGTAACATGAGCAGGAAATAAATCCCTGTCTATCTGGAGCTGTTTGTTACTGCAGCATTTCCTCAGCCTGTGCTGACTATTGCATTTTCCCCATCCACATCATAGTAGCATCATAACTATCCAATTTGCATGGTATTTTGCTTAGGTTTCCTCATTACTCTTTATCCTTTCCCAAACTTCCTGAATTGTTTCTCTTCCCCTTGAAAACAGAATCTCAGCTTCACCCTAGCTGCAGCACCAGGACTGTTGCCAACTACACACTGAGTGCTCTAAGCCGAGCACAGCTCAGTCTCCCCTGAGGCCTGGAAGTCAGTTCTGAGCATCGAGGGTTAGGGGAGGCTGCCTGAGAGAGAACTCAGGCGAAGTTTTCCTTGGTGTGCAGAAAGGAAGCTGTTTCTGTCCCCTCCCTCCACTCTCAGCTTTGAAAGCCAGAGCATCAGGCTGCGATGCCCAAACTCGCCCATGCTGATAACACCCTCGTCCCAGGAGCACTGCATCAAGGACCAAAGGGCTGGGGTCCTTGATCAGATGCCTGACCTGCTAAGTCACCTTGGCAGTGCCGCCTGGATCCTTCAGAGCACTCCGTGTCCTCACAGTCCCGGCCACACATCTGCTTTTCTTTCTTGCTGTCCAGAGCACCCTGCCTGATCCAACGTGTGCGGCCAAAGCACTGTTCCCTTGGCCTGCTCCACAAGGGTGCACAAGGGTGCGTTCTGACGGTTAGATTGGCCTCACAAGTTCCTGAAGCAATACAGCGACAGTCTAAGGAAAGCAGTGAGGGCACATGGTGTTACAGCCTTGGTCCAGCACGGAGCTGGCTGAGTCCTCTCCAGCGTCGCAGGGACCAGCAGGGACCCTGTGGGTGTCTTCGGGGTCTGTGTTTCCAGGTCCTTCCAGCCCCTGCGCCTGAGTCCCCTGCACCCACGTCCGCACCATGTGTGTTTGCTCTACACCACTCAGTCATGCAGAGGGACTGCGGTCTGCAGCAGC